GGAAGGCTGAGGCGGAAGGATCGCCGGAGCCCAGCAGGCCAAGGCTGCGGTGGCCGAGAGCGGCCACTGCACTCCAGTCTGGGCGACAGAGTGAGACTCCAACTCAAAAAAAAAGAACAAAAGTATGTGTATTCATAAATGAACAGACTTGTCCTGCATGCTATTTAAACTCTTAAGTATAGAATACATGCTATGCCCTACATAATAAGTATCTCTACAGAATAAGAGAGATCCAGGGCCTCTTACATTTACCTTCATTCCCAATTTGCAATTTAAACTCAGTGTTACATCATTTTCATTTTCATTCATTTTCACTGAGGTTGACCACTGATAATGTTGGAAAAACACAGGAGAGAACAGGACACATCCATATGCTGATTGACAAGAATTCACAGATCTTAGAGCAAGCTAGAAAAATAACATAAAAGCTATTTAGGAGAAAATCATCTTTCTTTAACTGATACTTTCATTCAAAAAACTCCATTATGTTTAACATCACAGTTAAATAAGATCATGGGGTGTTAACTATGCCCTATACAGTGTGCACAGGATTTGCATATGTATACACATATGTGTACATGTATGTATTGAATACATACATGTATGAAATCCAAAATCTTGCATGTTGAAAATGTAGAAAAGTAAATGCCTATGGGGGCCTTAACTTCAATGTGTAAGATGACAGAAGGCAATATAAAAGGGATTTATGGCATATTGGCAGTCTCACACCTTGTCTAAGGGGAGAAGCCATTACTCAGTTTCAGCCAACTACTGCCATAGGCAATGCAGGCTCAGAATTGTCAGATCTTCTGAATTTACAAGAGAAGGAGGAAGAACTGGAATCTCTCCACGTTTAAATGTTAGAAATTATTCTAATTTTTTGACTATATATATTTTTAATTATTTCAAATTTTAAAAAAGCAATGCAGGCAGACAAAACATTTCTCCAGGCCATATCTAGTCTCTGGACCACCAGTTTGTGACTTCTGGTTTAACTCAATTAAGTTTGTCTGCATGATTTTCTATGTTCTATGCTCTAAATGTAGTCAGTTATGTAAAATAAACAGTGAAAGGAATAATTGCAATTTCTGAAATTCCTAGTTAACACTCAAACTGGATTGGGATATTTAAACATCCTCTCTTGTCTTAAGTACATGGTTTATTACTTAATTTTTTACTTACACCTTTTCCAGATGGGTCTAGCCACAGCTCGTCACTAATTCGTGATAGAGCTTGAATTGCCTTCCCAAACACTACGGAGAAAAAGAAAGGTGCTGCTTACGTTCTTTCCCTCTAACAATAAAAAAATCAAGTGACTTCTTCCTCATCCAAAGGACTCAAGATAAATCCATAAAAAACAGTGTTTTATAGACTAATGCTACATCACTCTAATAAATGCAGCGTAATACCCTCAGCAAAATGCAAGGCATATAGTAAGAGCTCAGTAAATTTGCAGAGTGTGTGAAATGAAGAAATTCAACACAATTCTTTCTTCTTTTTTTTTTTTTGAGTTAGAGTCTCACTCTGTCGCCCAGACTGGAGTGCAGTGGCCACTCCCGGCCACCACAGCCTCGACCTGCTGGGCTCCGGCGATTCTTCTGCCTCAGCCTTCCAAGTAGCTGGAATTACAGGCATGTGCTACCACGCCCGGCTGATTTTTTGATTTATTGTAGAGATGAGGTCTCACCAAGTTGCCCAGGCAGGTCTCGAACCCACAGGCTCAGGCAATTCACTCACCTCAGCCTCCCAAGGCACGGGATTACAGGCTGAGCCACCGAGCCCGGCTAATTTTTTCTTCTATATACTTGCAGTGTTGCAAGGACCTACTGTTGCAAGCCAATTTCCATATATATATATTTTTTGAGTTAGGGTCTCACTCTGTCACCCAGGCTGTAGTGCAGTGTTCATGATCATGGCCCACTGCAGACTCGACCTCCCAGGCTCAGGCAATCCTTCCTCCTCAGCCTCCCAAGTAGCTGGAACTACAAGTGTACATCACCATGCCTGGCTAATTTTTTTTTTTTGTAGAGACAAGGTCTCACTATATTGTCCAGGCTAGTCTCAAACTCCTGGGCCCAAGAGATCCTCTTGCTTTGGCCTCCCAAAATGCTGGGATTACAGGCATGAGCCACCACAGCCAACCATATGAATATATTTTAAAACTTGATTTAAATAAATATATTTGCCCCTCCCAAATTATGAAAACAGTGCATGGAGAGGACAATTTGAAGTGTTTTTAAAGCTTCACAGATGGCCAAGTCAAAATGTGTGAGACATTAATGAGAGATAAATTAGGGGTACTCAGGATGCATCTCTGACGTTTGAGGGTAACATGGAAGATGCTAGACTTTCTCACCACAAACAGATGTCTTGGCAGAAAGAGATGCTAGGGTTGGACAAAGTATTGGTCTGATCCAGTATGACACTGTTAATATTCTTATACATGAAATTAATAAGTAAAAACCACAGTGAAAAGATTATGGTATGCTATGTGGCAATGCAAACAGGTGGCCATATCAATCCACGGAAAAGCATAAAAAAGGAAAAAAAAATTCCAGAACATAAAATCAGATTACAATGCTTAAGAATCACATGGACACTGGGAAAGATAGGATGACCAAAAAAAGAGGCCTTTGTTCCTTTTTACCACTGTGATGCAGCTCTGTTGTTCATCCAGTGGCTATATATTGAGCACCTACTATGTTGGAAGTACAACCCAAGGCACTGGGGCCACAGCAATGAACGAGACAGGTACAGCTCCTGCCCACAGCGTGCTCACAGTCTAGAAGGGAAAATAAATCCAACAATCAAGCATATAATTGGTTATTGACAGCTGAGGTGAACGCTGCAAAAGAGAACTTCCTCGTCTCGGAGAACATGCAACAGTGGGGGCCTTACATCCCTGTCCTGCTCATCAACACAGTCCCAAGGTTGTTCTCAACACACCAGAAGCCACAACATGAGATCTCTCTCTGTGATCATCTTCAGGTTGCATTCTGCAGGAACCCATGGCTCTTCTAAACATTTTCTGGAGTAACTTCCATTTTTAAAGTGCTGTTTTATTTTAGGAGGCTGAGGCAGGAGGATTGCTTGGGGCCAGGAGTTCAAGACCAGCCTGGTCAACAGAGCAAGACCCTGTCTCTCTTTATTACAATTAATTTAAAACAAAAAAAATACAAAGTGCCATTTAAAAGACAGCCCGCGCACCATCCCATCTATTACTGAGTTCTTGATATGCATTTGATTGCTGTTATTATTCCTATTTTGCAGATGAGGAAACCGAGCCCCCAAATGATTCAGTGACTTGTCGGAATCACACAAAGGGTAGAATCTGGAATAAAAACCGGGTTTGTGCTTTTCTCTTGGCCCAAAAGTACTTTGTCCCAGCACTATTTCTTCCTCCCAGCTCCTCCCCACGCCGTCCCCCTCATCTCCTGCTTGAGGCCCGACAGCACAACTTCATGTCCTGGACGCCACCGATATTCAATATTATGCATCAATTAAAGGACAAGAGCCTTCATCCTCCCCTCGGAAGCTACGGGGACCCTGGGTGGGGGGCGGCCGTGGCCAGGGCTCGTGTCCTCCGTCCTCGTGCATAAGAACAGGACGACGGCGAAGACGTCCAGGAAACTCTGGCTCTCTCTCGTCTACACGGGAAGGCAAGAAAGGCGGCTCCACCTTTCACCTGACCGCCGCTCATCGCGCACTTCAGCATGGCCACGGCCCTAAAAGGCAGGATCCGGACTCGCCTCAGTTCGACGGCCCAGGTTCCCGGATGTTGCCCGCGCTTTTCGAAGCTTCGCGACCTCCTCTCTCCACCCTATCGCCTCGCCTCCACGCATTCCCAAAGCGCGGGTTCGCTTTACGGCGGGGAAGGGCCTGTGCGGGCCCCCGTAGGGCAGTTCTCTGCCGACCTCGTTTCCCATTGGCTGTGGGCGAGATGGGCGGGTCCTCGAGGAGCCTGAGGAAGAGGGCGGCCGCGGTCGTGGTGACGGAGCGGAGCCCGGTGACAGGATGGTGAGGGCTGCAGCTGCGGCGACCGAGGCCTGGCTCTCGGCCCGGGTGCAGCGTCGTTGGGAACCGCGGAGAGTCCCGGGCGAGGGAGGCGGCGACCCCGCAGGGCTTGGCGGGCGCAGCCCGGGCGCCGGCCGGGGGAAGGCCCAGGGGGAGGGCTGGGGAGGAAGGGAGCGGCCACCTCTGGGTGCGGCCGGCCTGGGCCTCGCACCCCGGCCCCGGGGGCTAGAGGACGGCTGCGGGGCGGGGGAGGGCCCCTGCCAGCTGCTCCTCCTGTCATGGGACCTGCACGCCCGAGCTCCGGAAGGCCTTTGGTCCTGTGCCTCGAGCTTCCCCGCGAGACGGGCACGGTCCCTCTCGGTTTCCAGACGTTTCCCTGCTCCTTTTCCACAAAAAGCACCTCCCTCTGGCTGGGGTGTACCGGCGACCACCCCCCGGTGGCGAGAGCTGGTCTCTCAGATGCAAAACGCGAAGCCGCGAGCAGGATTCCGGGCCCGCTCTCGAGGCAATGGGGATAGAAAGTGTCCCCTGCGCCTCTAAAATAACATGCAGCTGCCGTTGAAATGTGCAAGCGTGCTCTCGGAGGGCAGGACTTGACGCTTAAAATTGCTGCAGCTGTTTGTTTCTTCGGGGGCCTGCGACTCCCATTGATCGGTGAACTCCTCGAAAGCATTTGGAAGATTGTTGTGACTCTGTGCGATTTTCTAGGGCGGGGGCCGGCGTGGGCGCCAAGGGCGAGTTTGGGAGCTTTGCTTCATTCGTTCATCAGACTTCTCCAGTCTCCCCCAGCCAGCTTCAAGCCCTCACCCCCTCACCCCCCCAACCCCAATAAATCGCTACCTCCGAGACCTTCTTACATACAAACCGGGGGACTGCCCATGGAGAGGCCTCACCCGTAATCAGATTTTCAGAGGCGCTCTTGACGCTGAAACGTCAGCTCTTCCGAAAGAAGCTGGGATTCGTGTTGATGGAGCTTAGCTGTAAAGGGACTTCCCTCTCCGATGGGCATCCATTGCATGTTTAAGATGATTCCTATTCCACGACAGCCTTTTAAAGAGGTGGCTTATAGACCTGGCAGCCAAAGATTTATGGCGTATGCTTCCTTTACAGGCCTTCATTCCACTTTTGATTTTTGTTTCTAAACAGACTCCAGGTTACAGTAATTTTGAGGCACCCTTCCATGGGAGAAAACATAATTACTTGCCATGATTCCGTAGTCATGTTTCTGAAGTTGTTTTGAGAGGTGCACACTTTTTTTAGGGTACTTGTCCTGGAACATCACTTTTCATATGAAGTAGAATTGGGCAAACGTTAGCATTAGCCAATTATTTTAAGATTAAAAAAACATTTTATTTGGCAAAGAAGACAGGCGTCCTACATTCAGTATAGTGTCCAGAGTCTATGGGCAGCAAATTCGGGTGTGGGGAAGGTCCAATTTTAACTGGATGAATGGCTTTATCTTTGTTTTCATTATTGTTAGTTGGTGTTCATCACTAGACTTAAAAAAATGATCTACCTCTATAAAAAAATGACCTAACTGAAGCATAATTTTCTAGCTACTAGAATTTAGAATGTAAGAGAATTAAAATTAATGTACTTGAGGAATAATTAGACCCTAACCATCCAGAAGATGTTAACTTTTAAGCTATTGCTGATGAATTTTCCAAGTTGTCTTATAGGAATCTAAATTCACAATTTTATTTTATAAAAGCTCATAAAAAATTTTATACAAAATGGAAAACAAAAATGATGAAAGTCAATGTGGAGAGCAAGGTTAGGAAAAGTAGGAAAAAATTGGCATAGCAGATTTTAAAAATAGCGTGTGTTTATGTCTTGTTTAAAAAGACAGCAAATGTTTCTTTTAGTATTGTTTTGGGCACAGCTGATTTTTAACATTTTCTTCCATAACACTCAGAAATCATTAACAATTGCTCATTTGGTGTGGGTTTTTTTGTTGTTCCTTTTTTTTAATTATTAGTTTATTTCTTTTCGTTGCTTTCTTTTAACATTGGTCATGTTTCACCGTTTTTTTTCATTCCCCTGTCTGCAATCAACTTCTTCATTCCACTAAGGCTGGGCACAGAGTAAGTTTCTTCTCTTAGCTCCTACTAACAATTGTGGTTGGGTGGCTGATTACTGACTGGGTTTCTAACTCTTTTAAGAAGTTACCAAATTCCCATGCTTTGATTAGGTTGGTTCTTTATTTGAATTAATAAGACTGCCATTTTCGGGATCTTTTGCTTTCCTAAAGGACTCTTTAATCTACGTCTAACCTGATTTGTCAAAATGTGGAATTTGGGCAAGGACACTCCTCAAAGTATGATGTGTTATGACACTATTTTCCCTATAACTTTGTCACCAGCAGGAAACCAGAGGATCCTGTCCTAGTAAAGATTCTTTCTAATTTTAAGTCATTTCGCTGTAGTCATTCATGCAGTCATATCTTTATACTGCTAATAGTCTTGAGTACACTTGGGGATAATCTAGTACTTTATAGAATTAGCTCATCATTTGTTATGAACTACCATGTTTTACTGATGTTCCTTCTGGTCGCATTCAGAATGAACAGCTCATTCATTATTAATCCCAACACTTTTATGAGATTGGGGTTCTTCTTTTTTTAAACATAGAAATCCATTTTTTACCTTTTTCTCAAATGCCAGCTTCCCACATAGACTTTGTAGCTTAATCCATATCTGAAGGAATCCTCCTCTAAAATAAAGATTATTCCAGAAGTGGGGGTAAAAAATAAAGATTGTTCTATATCCAGGTACTTTATACTGATTACCAGTGAGAATAGAAACTTCATAGTGGTTTTTAATTTTACGGATGTTTTGTTCACAAAAATCTGCATTGAAACAATTAATATAGGTCCTTGAACACATACTAGCTGAAACTAGTGTTTATAAAGAAGAAACTTATTAAATAGTTTCTTGTAAAGTGTGCTAATTTTGTAACCTTGTGTTACTTCATTTACTCTGTGTCCTGATAACAGTTCCTTTTCTTTGCAGTCATTTTAATTTTTGTTACAAGATGAATCGATCTTGTTTTAGTAATCATTTTAATTTCGCATTTTGTTTTTTAATTTACAAAGTCTGTAGTGGCAAAATATTTTGTTTTATTGTATTTGACATTTAATGTTTTCTTTTATAATATTAAATAATAGAAATGCCTTTAAAAGCAGTTAAAGGGCATGTACATTTATGGGTGGGATATCTGTAAGGGAAAACTTTCTGTAGAGAATGGAGGTGTGTACTACTCAACATGAGGAAATTTGATTCTGTGGTCCTTTGGAGGATAGATATTTTGAATGATCTTTCAACACTATTCTGTTAAATAGCTAAATTAATGTTGTTTGTCAAATTTTGAAATTTTAAAATTAAAATTTAACAGCATTGGGCTTTATATTCTTTTATATTTAAGAGCAAATTTTATATTTGTCATCTAAGACTGTGTTGCAACTCTAAACCACCTCATGTTAAATTTATACTTATTTCACTGATCTGTCTTTTTTGTTTTAATGCTGTAATGTACATGCAAGATTGTGAAAATGTTATTTTTTACATTTGGGAACTATACTGAGGATACATAGCCAATTTAATCCAGACAATAAAAATATGGCAGTGAGGATTTCTAATAATGAAGTGGGTGAAGATATCAAAGATTATAGTTCAAAAGCATGTTTACCCATTAAAACTCTTAAACATAAACTGGGTTTTTTTGTTTTTGTTTTTTTTTGTTTCATAGGCTATTTTTGTACCTCTGTAATGTATAGCTAATAATTTGAAGTAACAGAAATGGTAAATTTTGGCTACCAAACCTCCAAATAGTTGTCAGCTTAGTAAGCATAAATTATAGAATTAACTTTTTTTCTCTATTATTACATTTTTTAACAATCCCCTTTAATGTTTCTGGCATTGTGGCACATGCCTGTAGTTCCAGCTACTTGAAAGACTGAGGAGGAAGGATTGCCTGAGCTCAATAGGTCAAGGCTGCAGCAACCGTGAGTGTGCCACTGCACTCCAGCCTGAGTAACAGACTGAAACTCTAACTCAAAAAAAAAAAAAAAAGATTCTGGAGTTAATATGTAGGTTTCATATTACAACTACAGAAATAGGAATTAACATATCAGTGTTTTAAAATACCAAATTCCACAGGGCCCCGTTGTATACTTTTCATTTTGTGAGTTTTAAAATGCAGTGTAACTTATAGATCTCTGAATTATTCCCTTTAAAATCCTTGATTTTATTCTTGGTAAATAGAATGATTACTTGTATTGTGTATGCACAATTTTTGACCAAAATAAAGTAAGATTGGTTTAGAACAGAGTACATTACCATATGTGTGTTTGTTTCAATTGCCATTATAGGAACATTATGAATAATTTCTGCTCTGTGGGGTTCTGGATCTCTGATGAGTTTAGTTTAAAAGGGGAGTTGTGGGAGAGTATTTTGTTTTGACATCTTGTTTAACATTATGCTTTCTCTCACTTTCAAACTTTAAAGTTGGTGTTGGTATTAGGAGATCTGCACATCCCACACCGGTGCAACAGTTTGCCAGCTAAATTCAAAAAACTCCTGGTGCCAGGAAAGATTCAGCACATTCTTTGCACAGGAAACCTTTGCACCAAAGAGAGTTATGACTATCTCAAGACTCTGGCTGGTGATGTTCATATTGTGAGAGGAGACTTTGATGAGGTGACGTATTTCGCTTTCCTTTGTCAAATGTTTCCCTTTCTTGATTCTTACTTCTATAAGCCTTATCTTTAGAAGTAAGGTTTTTTTTTCAAATATAAATTATTACACATGACTTTCCCTTATTGTTTGAAAATCACTTGTTTAGACTACTTAGTAAGCATAGCAAATACTTGTTCTGACAAAATAAATTGATTTTGAGTAAAAGTGGATTTGTTGCTCCTTTTTATAGTGTTGTCATTTAGTACATAAGGTTTTTTATGACCTTACCACCGCTACCTCTACTACCCTGTTCCAAGTCACTCACTTTCTTGTATTCCAGCTTCCTAATTCTACCCTTCCTCCTTCCACAATTTGTTCTCCAGGTGGCAACCAGAATGATCCTTTTTTTTTTTTAGTCAGTCTCACTCTGTCACCCAGGCTGGAGTGCAGTGGCACGCTCACGGCCACCACAGCCTCAACCTGTTGGGCTCAGGCAATCCTTCCGCCTCAGTCTTCCAAGTACCTGGAATTACAGGTACGCGCCACCACACCTGGCTAATTTTTTTTTATTGTTGTAGAGACGAGGTCTTGCCAAGTTGCCTGGACTGGTCTCGAACCCCTGGGCTCAGGTAATCCTCTTGCCTTTGCCTCCCAAAGTGCTGGGATTACAGATGTGAGCCACCATGTCTGGCTGGAGTGATTCTTTTTCAGTGAAGTAAGATCACATCACTACTGACACCTCCTTGCTGGCAACTCTTTCTCAAGGGTTGGCTTTATCGAGCATGTGGGAGTTTTGGAGTGTAGAACTGCTGTATATCTTGAGTGTGGTGGTGCTTACACAGCTGTGTGCATTTGTCAAAACCCACTGAATTGTACACAGAATTTTACTGTGTGTAAATTATGCCTCAATAAACCTGACTTTAAAGGGAGAAAAAGGGCTGGGTGTGGTGGCTCAAGCCTATAATTCCAGCACTTTTTTTTTTTTTTTTTTTGAGTTGGAGTATCAGACTGGAGTGCAGTGGCTGCTCCCGGCCACCGGATCCTCCACCTGCTGGGCTCC